GCAGGCATCCCAGTCCAGCAGGGCGTCCCCCCACCTGAGCTCCCCACTTCTGGCTCCCAGGGTATGCTCCAATCTTGCCCAGCCTTCTGTGGCCACCTTGGGAGCCCTGAGCCTGTTGCCACCCACTGTGGTGTGTGGTGTGGGTCGAGGGAGCAGCAAGCCAGCTTTGGGCCCACAGCAGCATGCACAGGAGGACAGCAGTACAACTAGGCAGAGCCAGCCCTCCATGCTCACCCTAGATGGGTCCTATCCGGGTGTGATGAGTAAGTTAGGCCAGCCATCTCCAGGAGTCTGCAGCAGTCTAGGGGACAAACTTATGATAGGTACCAGGAGCCAGCCCAGCCCTTGGGATCCCACTGTCCACTCTGAGCCAAAACAGGTCAGCAAGGGGCCCCTAGGTCCTGTGACTCAGCCCATGACGTCTGCAGAGGATGGTGGCCTGGCCTTAGGGGCTAGTGTCCCATGTCAGAATTGGTTCAGGGGCATAGTTCCAGGGACGCCCCAAGGGCCTGTAGCTACTGGACTGTTCCTAAGTATGTGCCAGGGAGCTAACCCACCCCCCATGGCTGCCTGGGCCTTGCCAGCAGATGTCCCCTGGACTCAAGAACAGGCTGTTGTGACTTCAGGTGTGGGCCAGGGCTCGTGCCCAGCTGTGATACCCAGTATGCAGGTCCCATCTGAGTTCTTCCCAAACCAGCTGGGCGCCAGCGTCCCTCAGACCTATGCCCCTCTTCCGGTTACATTAGGGCCCCAGCTCCTCTCTGTGGCCACCATGGTCCCACCCAGTTGCCGATATGCAGGTATGGTCATTCCAGGTACTGCAGTGGGCGCTGTGGGTAGAGGTTTGGTCCAGGGTTCTGTAGATGGAAAAGTGCCCTCGGTACTGTTGCCAAAGCCTGTGATAGAAAGTGAGACTCTCAACCTTCCTCAAGGATCTGTGATCAGGGGCATAGGAAAGAGTGTCCCTCCAGAGTCTGTGGTGGATGGCATGGCCCAGAGTGTCCCCCCAGAGTCCATGGTGGATGGCGTGGCCCAGAGTGTCCCCCCAGAGTCCATGGTGGATGGCTTGAACCAGAGTGTCTCCCCAGAGTCCACAGTGGATGGCTTGAACCAGAGTGTCCCCCCAGAGTCCTTGGTGGATGACATTGCTCAGAGCGATCCCCCAGAATCCATGGCGGATAGCATGGCCAAGAGTGTCCCCCCAGAATTCATGGTAGGCGGCATGGACCAAAGTTTCCTCCCAGAGTCCAAGGTGGATGGTGTGGCCCAGAGTGTCCCCCCAGAGTCCATGATAGGTGTCAAGGCCCAAAACCCACCTCCAGAGTCAATGGTCCCTCACCAAGATCCTGTGGCCCTCAACCTCCCTCCAGGTTCTGTGGCCAGCAGTGTGGCTCCCAGTCACCCACAAGAGACTGGTGGTAAGAAGCTGAGCCCAGCTGTGGAATCCTTGCCAAACTCCCATTCCCCAGGCCCATGCCCAGGTTTTGTGGCCAGTGGTACAGGTCCTAGCATGCCTCTGGGTTCTGTGGCAAGTAATGTGGCTCCAGGATCCATGGTAGTAGGACTCAGTCCACGTCCTTATCAGGCAGCACAGTCTGGGAAGGGCTCCCGAGTCCCCTTCCTGGCACCCCATGTCAGCAGCCTGGCTAATGCTCACTCATCAGCCCCAGCAGTCCAGAGAGTGGCCCAGGACCAACAACACTTACCCACAGTTTTGTCAAGTGCCTCACAATCTAGTCAAGACTCTGGGCTGACAAAGCTTGTGGGTGTTGATAACCTGACCTTGCCGAAACCAAGGCAAATCGATAACATGGTGTCCGAAACATTGGAGTCTGGCACAGACCCTGTCAGGTCTGAAGGCCTTAAGATCATCCTGTGTACAGGCCTCAGTACCACGGGAGGTGAGAATCATGAACACGAGACCCTGCCAGTTGAAAATATTCTCAAAAACCAAGTGACCTTGTTGGCAGAGGTGGCTCCCAGCCAAGCCAGTGATGTCATTCCCGTGCTTGTACAGGCCCCAAGTTTAGGTGAGCACCCCACAGCCAATAGCATCACCCCTGTTCAGCCCTTATCCTCAGAAAGCCATGGTGGTGCCCCCAGCCTCTACCCTGTTCCTGGGTTTCTGAGCCTGCAGGAGCACCCTGTGGCTGGCAGTTCAAGCCAACCTCCAGCTTCTAATGTAGTCGCAGTGCCCCCACAGCTGAGTCCTGACATCGCTGGAACAGCCAAGCTGTCTCTGGGTTCAGAGGAAGAACCTCAGAACCATACCAAGAATAACCGAGAGTCCCCCACTGCTAAAAAGTCCTACCGCTCCATTCAAAGCAGCCTTGTCTCAGAACTTCTAGAAGGTTCCATGGACAGACTGCTGCCCTTTAGTCGTTCACTGAAGCCGCTATCTCAGATCTCAACGGACAGTCACAAGCAGTCCTCAGGGACACCCACAGGTGTCACTCCCATCACCCACTTGGCAGATGGGAAGGGACAGAACGCACCCTCAAGAGTCCGAGGGGTATCTCTGTCCTATGAGTCATCACCAAATGACTCCCAGAGACCCCTTCCTGAGCCTGCCCATGACACCAGACATACTGGCAAGCCAAGAACAGTGCTGGCCCTCACCACACAACTAGGCCAGAGGTCCCCTTTTGTCACCAGCCCTGAAACTGGCTATGATGGGGGCTCTCGAATCCACACTTCACCTCACAGCCACACACATCAGCATGTCCCAGTCCCCAAAACTAGTTCTGATGAGGGTCCTCGAAGAGCCCCCATCATGCTCTATGGTCACAGACTCCAACATGTCATGATGCCTAAAACAAGCCTTGATGGGAGTTCCCAGCTCCCTAACACACCCCATGGCCAGAAACTCCATCATGTCACAGGCCTCAAAACTGGCTTTGGTAGGGTCTCCCAGGTGTACACTACACCCCACGGCCACAAACACCATCTTGTTACACACCCTAAAACTGGCCATAATAAGATGTCCCCACCCCCTACTGTACCCCAGGGCCCTGTGGATACCGGCCTGGCTGGTGGCCAGTCATGGAATTCCAAAGTCCCCAACGTATCGGTCAGAGCCACACGTGCTGGGGCACCCCAAGGCACATGGCATTCTAGTCGAGGCCACAGGTCATGGGACCCATCTGGGGCAGAGGCAGCGCTGGACCGCAAGCCCTCAGCTGAGTTGCTGGTGTCAGTGCGTGCCATGGAGAAAGTTGTCGTCCAGGCTGCCGTCACCATCCAGGCCTGTGCACGTGGCTACTTGGTGCGCCGCACTGTGAAGGTGTGGCATCAGTGGGCCACCATCATCCAAGCTACATGGCGTGGCTACCGTGTGCGACGGAACCTGGCAAGGCTTCTCAGGGCCACCACCATCATCCAGGCTGCCTGGCGTGGCTACTGCACTCGCCGGGCCCGGGCCCACCAGGTGTTGCTCCCTACCACGTGGCCAGAGCACAGTGGCAGAACCCAGGGGAGCCTTGACACCAGGAATAGCTCTGAGCACCGCTGCTTCCTGTCCTGCCAGCCTGATGTCTGCAGCGTCTGTCAGTCCTTGGGTCCCCGGGTGGAGAGTCCTCCCAGTGTCGTGATGCTCGTGGGGTCCCAGCCACGCACCTGCCATGTGTGTGGCCACACATTGTCTACTCGAGTGGTGCAGGGCTTTGGCCAGGGCATTTCAGTCCAGTCTGGTTCTCGTTGGGCTCCAGCATCTCAGCACTGTCCTCTTGTCAGCCAGCAGCACAGAGCAGCCACCCTCATCCAGGCAGCCTGGAAAGGCTACAGGACCCGCTGCCTGCTCAGCCAGCAGCAGTCTGCGGCCAAGATGGTCCAGGCCACATGGAGGGGACATTACACAAGAAGCTGCCTCACCACAGATGCACTCTTGGGGACAGGAGGCCCATGGAACATCTCCAGGGACACTTCACGCCGTACTTCAAGGGCTTATTCTTTACACTGGCCTGGCGTCTAGGCCCCTGGCTGTGGGCAACACACCATGGTGGCCATGTGGTCTCATGGGTCTTGTGAATAAAATGCACTACAGCCTGCCTCTGGTCACATGTCTTGAGTTCAGGGACAAGGGGAATTCTAGATCATGCCAGTGGCAATGAGTTCCAGTGACTCCAGCCCATGTGGGGTCTGTAGCCAGGGTTGAGAAACCTTATTTTCCAGGGGCCACAGGTCACTAGTGTATCTTGTGTGACTTATCTGAGACTATAGAGATGACTCAGCTGCCAAAGGTGCTTGCTGCTAAGCCTGTGTGTGTGATCACTGGAACCCACATGATAGGGAATGACAACTCCAATGTCTCCTGACCTCCCTGAGTACATGCACACACACACACACACACACACACACACACACACACACACAATGTATAAGCACACATGTAACACACACATAGCTCACAATACATATACTCGTACATATACACATAGCATACGCATACAGATACAACATACACACAGACACGCACATGTGCGCACAGACATACACATACCTGTGTCTAGCTGGGTGTGTCACACCTGTCATCTCAGAATTGGGTGGCTGGGTCAGGAGACTCAGTTTTTGGCCAGCTCAGAAACAAAGATTAACAACAAAGAAAGTAAGAACCTGCTTGGCCCGGCCTAACCTACTTTGACTTCCTCATGAAAGTGCTTCCTTCTGAAAACGCTAGAAGATTCTAGCTACATCCACAGGTGGGGTGAGCTGGAGAGACAATGGCATCCTCAACTCTGCTTGGAGGAGCCTGGCAGCCAGAGACAAGGGTATTGATCTCAGGTTTGGGGCGACCATAGAAGGGGTGTCCCAGAGTAGCCGGGGACCGGTGTGTGTCCTGAGGGCAGCATTTGTAAGCTTCTGGAGCATGCTGAATCTGAGGAGGCTCTGGGTGGGGTTCAGCGGAGGGAGGGTGGGAAGGGAACCCAGCGCTCGCCGGCAGGGGGCGCGCGTGGGAGAGCTGCTACCTGGCGGCACACCTGCAGCCTGGGCGGTGCGTGGGAATGGCGGGTTCCCAGCTGCTGCCTCTGGTGCTCACCCTTCTGCTGCTAGTGAGACCCCGCGACTTCTCTGTCGTTCTTATATTCTCAGGTAAGCTGGTGGAGGGAGACGGCGCGGCTCCGGGGGACAGCGGGGCTGGTGGCACAGGACTCAGGTCCTCCTCTCTGGTCCCTCCCAGACACACCAACCCCTTAGGGCCACCTGAGCTTGCTGGGACAGAGACCAGTAACCCCCTTGACACTTCAGGGACTCCAAGCACAGCCCTATCCTATCCAGAAAGTGGTGAGGACCTCCCCCACTTCCTTGGTCATGGGATCGGGGTCACATCCATCATTCTGGCTTCCATTAGAAGTTTGTAGCTTGCGAGTTAAAAGACCACTGAGTTTATTGTAGATGCTGGTGGAATTACAAAAGTTCCATGTTTATCCCTGGAAGCCCAGGCTGGCTCCAGCCTGTGGACAATGAATTGCATTAATTAATTAGGTTTTTCGAGACAAGATTTTTTTCTGTGTAGTTTTGGAGCCTGTCCTGGAACTTGCTCTGTTCCAGGCTGGCCTCAAACTCACAGAGATCCACATGCACACCTGCCTCTACCTCCAGAGTGCTGGGACTAAAGGCATAGGCCACTGCCTGCCCGGCATGCCTGTGGACAGTCTTATTAGGGTCTATTGATATGGCTTGGTACCTGCCAGTCTTCCATCTTGGAGACCAAGGGAAAATCCAATACCAGGCACATTGCCAAAATCACCTCTCCTCTCCTTTCTGCTTAACTCCAGAAATTCCTGAGGACCTACTCAGTGCTGGGTACTTAGTAAGGCTGGTGTAAGGCTCTTTCAAAGCTTGCTTGCTTCATCTGTTCACTTAGAAACTTAACTTACGCCAAAGTTCTGGTTTGGCTTGGGGTCCACGATGGTACCTGAGTCAACTTCACTTCCCCAGACATTTGTCAGAGTGTGGACTCAACATTCCCAGATGCCTTTGCTGAAGGTCCTGGGTGGCTGAGGTGCAGGAAGGGTCAGGTCAGCTACACTCCCTGCACCCAGATGGTATTTCCTCATATCTGCTGTGTGGGGTGAGGCTAGAAGGAAGCAGGGCAAACACCCTGGGCAGAAAGAACGTTGGAAGGACAAAATGGCTGAGTGACCTTGTGCCCTGCACACCTGATTGGAGCCACCTGGATCTGGGAAGGAAGTCATAGTAAGAGGTAGACCAGGAACTATGTCCACAGCCTCTGAACTCCTCTAGGGATGGGATATGAACCAGGAGCCTGGAGGGACAGTGTGTGTGAGTCAGAGACCTGAATCCTGGGATTGGCAGAGGCTGGGGCGCGGCTTGGTGGTAGAGTGTGTGGTCAGCAGTTGGGGCAGAGTTCAAATTTTAATCTAGATCAGGGTTTTAGAAACCTCTGGATGGGGTGGTAACCTGCTCCTGAGAAAGAGCTGAGTAATACTGCAACTTCCTGAGAACCAGTTCCCATCTTCTGTAAAGTGGGGGTGACATAATACCTGAATCATAACAGGTAGCACCTCAGCACCCAGATCAGAGTGTCAGGCAGGGCTGCCTTAGGTGTTCAGAGCTCTTACAAGTGCAGCTCAGAGTGTTCTTGTTCAGACACAGGTAAGAAAGCAAGGCCTTGACATGCTGGGCAGGGATGAGGTCCAACTATGAGCAGTGCCCCAGCTTCATAAACACAAACCCCTATCTTTTTTTCCAGGTGTTGCTTTTACAGTATTCTGGGAAAGCATAGTAGTAGTGGATGCCACCTCCAGTCCAGACACAACCCCTTCCCCCATCTCCCCAAGTCCAGACACAACCCTTATCTTCACCACCTCAGCTCTGGAAGTAAGCCCTCCAGTGACCCCTATTCCCATCTCCCCAAGTCTGGAAGCGACCCCCACTTCAGACTCCAGCTCCACAGGAACAAACCCAGGCTCAGCCTCCCCAGAGCCAGAAACAGCCTCATCCCCCAGGTCTGGCTCCCCAGATCCAGAGCTGACTACTGTGTCCCAGTCCACGAACTCGGTTTCACAAGCCTCACCCACTGTGTCCAGCCCTGGTCAGGGTGAGTATAAGTACTCCCGGGGGAGGGGAGGGGGAGCTGGCGGGAACCTGGCTGTAGTTCTGGAGTCAGTCAGCAGGGGGCGACACAGACCTAGGAGTGTGTGGGCCAGCTTCAATCCACAAGCCACCTTAAGCCAGTTTCTCTACGGTTGGTGCCCTTATTAGCTTGCTAGTGTGTGCTGGCTCCTGAGGACAAAATTATGTACAAGAAAGGTTGCTTTTTATTTGGTTTTTCCACACAGGGTTTTTCTGTGTAGCTTTGGAGTCTGTCCTGGCACTCACCCTGTAGATCAGACTAGCCTCGAACTCACAGAGATCTGCCTGCCTCTGTCTCCCAAGTGCTGGAATTAAAGGCCCCACCACCTGGCAAGTTTGAGACCAAACTGATCCACGTGTTGGGTTCCCAGTTTAAAAAAAGAAAAACAGGGGCTGGAGAGATGAGTCAGTGATTAAAAGCACTGATTGCTCTTCCAGAGGACCTGGAATCAATTCCTGGTACCAACATGGCAGCTCATAACTCTGTAATTCCAGTTACTTGGGCCTGAACACCCATGGAAAAACACCAAGCACATAAAATAAAAGTAAGTTAATTTAAAAGCAAACAAATAAACAAGAGTCCACATGAAATTACATACTTGTTTATAAAATAACAACATTGGCACTGGAATGTGCCTCAGGAATGGAGCCCCTGCCTGGAATCCCCCAATGAGGGACTGGGGGCCTGGCTCAGGGGTGAAGCCCCTGCCTAGAATCCTCCCCCTTTGGGGGCGTGGCTCTGGACTGAGCTGAGCCCCCTTCCTCTCCCCAGATGCAGGCAGCCTATGGATCCCCACATCACACAGGAACTCGGGCGTGGTGATCGTTGTGTGTCTGCTTGTGTCTGTCTTGCTCATTGGCTCTGTGTTCACTGCCCTGAGACACTGTAATCGAGATAGGCCAGCTTTTCATAGTTTGGATACAGTATCCATGGTGAGATGGGTCAGCGTTGGGGCAGCTGCCTTCTCATTAGACACTCCCCTGCAGTTAAAGCCCTGTGCTGTTTAATGCTAACCCATGCATGTTTCTCTTCTAGGGCAGTGTGAGCCAGCGGCTGCCATTTGCTGACTGCCTACAGACACCTGCCTAGAGATGGGATGGGGTTGGAGGTAACACCTGGGAAGAACAGTTGCTGGAAAAGTGTCCACTTCACTGACCTGGAGATAAACTTGTGGCAGGAGAATGGCTTGAGACCAGGAGTGTGGGCCAGTTTGGCCTATACATCTAGTACCCAACTCAAAAGTCAATCAATCCAGGGATGATGAAGCACACCTGCCATTCCAGCATTTGGGAGGTACAGACAGGATGATCAGGTGTTCAAGTCCACCCTGGGTTACATAGGAGGTTAGAGGCCAGCCTGGGCTACATGAGACTGTCTTTAAAAAAGAAAAGAGCAGGTCAGCAGTTGAGAGCACTGGCTGCTCTTCCAGAGGTCCCAGGGTAAATTAGCAGCTCTCAACCACCTGTGACTCCAGTTCCCAGGGTCTGACACCTCCTTTTAGCCTCTGACATCATCAGGCTTGCAGATAACAGATTCATAGACATACATTCAGGAAAAACATGTAAAAAATAACATTAAATAAATATAAACTAAAGAAATAAAGTCTTTAGTATTCATAGAGCTTCCTGAGATGTGCATTCATGTGTCCAATAGAAATTAAGCATCTATACACCTTATGCCAGAGTCACACTAGTGACCTTGTATTTGCTTTTGTGAAGGGTGACAGCTGGGGAATGGGGCCACAGCTGGGGCTACAGGGCAGAAGTGAGTGTCCTGGCAGGACAGAGACAACTCTCTAAGGAGATAGATGACCTAACCCTAATGAGAAACTGCCTACAAAGGCCCCGTGGTAGGAGAAACATTAAAGAGCACAAGACCTAAGTGGATGTGAAGGGAAGAAGGGGGCTTCCAACTATGGAAGCAGATGGAATTTCCTAGCAGCCTCAAAACTTCCTTGGGGCAGGAGGTGCCACTGGCCTGTGCACAGATTGGCAGAAGATGCTGGCTGCCTCAGCTTCTCTACACATCCTGCTCCCACCTCTCCTGCTGTGGCTCAGGCTTATGACTGGGGACACTGCTGACAGCCAGCTTTCCCAAGATTCCACTGGAGCAGAGGGTGACACAGAATCTGTCCTTGCACTGTGGGTGGGGTGTCTCCCTGGCTGCAGTCAGGCCCTTTGTCTGCACCCCTCACCCCGTCATGCTTTGGTGACCTCTGGAGCAGGTGGTGGGAGGCCTCTTGGCAAGTCTGTAGAAGGGTAGGGTGAAATATTAACTTGCTTCAGAGCCACAGACAAGAGTGGCCTCAAGTCCCCTATGCCCAAGCTACAGTCCCCTGGGTTCCCCACTTCTGACTGCAGCTCTAACTTGTAAATAAAGTTTGACCAGAGAAGGTCATTAACTGCCTGGAATAGCACAGCATAGAAGAATAGCTTTCCTGGAGGCTTGAGGTGCCTTGATTGATACCCCAATATACTGGCTATTTCTCATGCTATTTCTGTCCTCTGCTGTGTAAACACCTTAACAATTAAATTGTCTGCCTGGTCACTCACCACTCCCCCGCCCCACCTACTCTGTCTCCACTTCCCCTGATCACACACTCACACACCTTCTCGCCCTTGTGGTCAGCCTGCCTTACCCCCTCTTCCAATCCTGAGGGTGGCTTGGCTCGGGTCTGGTCTAGTGCTCAGCTAAAGGATTTGCTGGGAATGGGATGGGACTGTCCTCTGTTCCTGAGGCCATCAAACATGCGGCACATGTCCCCACAAGAACAGCTCACAGTGAGTACCAGATCTGTGTCAGTGTGACAGGGTTCTGTATCTGGGGAACTGGGGTCTGGAACCCCAAGGGCCAGAGGCCTGCTGGGAGCTGAGGATTCCCCAGCTGACCTGGTGTCAGGGATCTACTCCTAGGGCTGACCGGGCAGGGTGCTGAGGATTTTGGACTTCTGCAGCAGCTGCCCCCTGGCTGCCTAAGCCCATGCGGTTCTAGGCTCCTGGGGTGGGGCAGGGGTGGCTCCCAGGCATTCTGGGTGCCCTCCCTCATCTAGAGAAGCCTGCACCATGAGGCAGGTGGTACCACACTGTCCTTCCTACTAAGTGAGGTGAGAGCATTGGTCTGGACTCAGTGGGAGAGCCAGGGCCTGAGGTCATGAAAGGTCCAGAGTTGCCCCCATATGAATTCACAGGGGAACTCGGGTGTAGAGAGGCTACCCAGGATTCTGGGGAACCACTGAGCCAAGCTCACGGCCTGAATGCAATATAGTTTTCATTCATTACTATTTTTTTTCTTTTGCCAGATACAAATGGGTCATTCATTAATTAAAGAAAACAGATTCATTATAGTGCTCTGCCTGAATGTACATCTGTATAACACATGGGTACAGTGCCACCTGAGGCCAGGAGAGGGTTTTAGCTAAAGTATCTATTTATTTTTGAGACGGGCTGATCTTGAACTTGCTGTGTAGACCAGGCTAGCCTCAAATTCTCTGCCTCTGTCTCCCTGGTGGAATAGTCTTATGCCACCATGCCCAGCCTCTTTAAAAAGTGACACATATGGGCTGGAGAGACAGCTCAAAGGTTAAGAACACTGGTTGTTCTTCCAGAGGTCCTGAGTTCAATTCGCAGTAACCATGCTGTGGCTGACAACCATCTGTAATAAGATCTGTGCTCTTTCCTCCTTTCTTAAAGTAGCCCAAGATGTTTGAGAACTCATGACAATGCTCCTGCCTCAGTCTTCCAAGGTGTCCACTGTATCCTTGAGACCCTGCATGAGTATCTGGGTGTGCTTTAAGGAGGGAACTGTGCCCTGTCAACAGGAGCAGCCTGGGAGATCTGGGGGAGAGGGCTCCTGGAGGAGTGCACACAGGCAGGCATGCATGGTAGCTGCAAAAGCTCTGATGACCCTGCAAAATTTGAGGAGCAACAAGGAGGCTGGTGAGGTTGGGAAAGACTGAGCCATAGGGGCTGAGTGCTGCAGGAGCTTGCCATGGGCCAGCAGGAGATGAGGACACAGGGCTTGGGGAGCTATGGGGAAGGTGTGGGTTTTCTACTGAGGCCAAAAGCCCTGGGAGGGTTAGGGACAGGGAAGCAGGGTGAATTGTAGGATAGGGTCTAGAAAGGACAAGAACACCACACAGGGTATCTGATGAGGTCCCTCCTACCTCTGGCTTTCCCATTCTATCCCAGGCTGTTTCCACCTGAGCCGGTTCCCACCCCAGGATGCTCCCCAGAGCAGCCTCTGCCTGGGGTCTCGCCCACCTCTCCAGTGCTGGGAAGACCTGTTCGCAACTCCCTGCCTGTTTTACCCCTGTGCTGCTGAGGACCAGACCTCTGGCCTGGCCTCTCCAAAGCTGGGCAGGGCTGCAGATGGAACCTTGACCTCACACGTGTTTCCTGAAGTTCTACTACCCAGGGTTTGCTCCGTGCTGCCCAACTCAGGTCTCTCCTAAAGTTATTGGTGAATGAATTCTCACTCATCACAAGCTCTAATCACTCTTGAATCCACTCTTCCTCTCACCCACCACCACCTCCGTCTTCAAACCACATTCCAAAGATCTGCAGGTGCTCTGGTGAGCACGCTCCAGGCCCTGGGCTCCATTACCAGCAAAACAGAAAAGTCTAAGTATCCCAGAGAGTTCGTGGTCACACCCTCCAAGGAGCATCTTAGGGGGTATTTCGCGTCTAGTGTATACAAGGCTCTGGACAGCACACACACACACACACACACACACACACACACACACACACACACACACAAATCCCCTAATAAAATATTTCCAGAATAAAATACAGAACCCGCGCTTGGCCCAAGGCCCTCCCTAAGCCCCACACCCGACTTTTCAACCAGACCCCGCCGCATACTTTCCCTGGGCCCAGCCCCTGACCCGCCCCTAAGCCCCGCCCTCAGTGTCTCTCCTGGGCCCGCTCCCAACTTTTCTAGGAGCCCCGCCCAGTCCCGACACTGAACTCCACCCCAACTTTTCCCTGTTCTTTCCCCACCCCCCCACCCCCGGCCCTCAGCTGAGAATGGAGAGGGCTTTTTATAATGGTGAATATTATCGTGAGTCCTACAAGGATCGACCGCAGCGTAAGGCCGAGAGAGGATCAATTACCCCAGGTGTGGTCCAGACGGTCCAGAGCAGGCAGGAGCCTTGTTCTGCGTCCCTCCCAAGTTTAGGCTCAGCCGCTGTCTGTTCGCCCTTCCCCAGTGGACTCACTCTGGTCTTGAAGCTATGGGTTTCCCCACTTACTCTTCTGATGCTGGAGACAGACCTTTGTGAAGCTCAGGAAAGAGAGGCTGAGCCGCCCTTTGGTTCCCACGGCCTGTACCCTTCCCAGAAGGCTCATTTTGTACGGCCCGCTGAGGTCAGCACTGGACAGCTCCTTGCCATTCCGATTCCCAGCAAGTCAACAGCCCAGCGTTGTTTTTGTTAGTTTGGTTGGTTGGTTGGCTTTTTGAGACAGGGTTTCTCTGAGTACAGTCCTGGCTGTCCTGGAACTCCCTCTGTATACCAGGCTGGCCTTAAAGTCACAGAGATCCACATGCCTCTGCTGGGATTAGTTAAAGGCATGGGCCGCCACCACTGCCTGGCCAAAGATTTTTTTTTTTTTTTAAAGTGTAGGGTTGAGGAGATAGCTCAGCAAGTGTCTGCCTGAGTTCAGTCCTGGGGTCCACAGGCAGGAAGGACAAAACCAACTTTACTTGTAGGCCATGGCATGTGTGCCCCACAAACAAATCGATAAAAATTAACTGCAATAGAACCACAATACACACACACACACACACACACACACACACACACACACACACACACTTGGACTGAGGCCCAGGGTTAATGCACCCAAGGAAGCTGGTCCTGGTGAGAGGGCTGCAACACAGGGCCATATCCCTGCACAAGGAGCTTGCTCATCACATCTTGCTGTCTCCCCAGTGAGTCCGGGAGCCAGTGGATTCTGGAGCAGCCCCTGCCAGCCCCCTAGGTGGGGGTGTGATCCAGAGACATTTCTTAGGGACCCTGCTGCTACCTCCATTGTCCAGCCATCTGGAGACCTCAGGGGAGCCAGAGTCTGATGCCCATGTGGTTTTCACCATTGGAACTCAAGGAGCAGAGATAAGCCAGGGCCCATCTCAGAGCAGGTGAAGAGCCAGGTATGCCAGAGGAGGCAGAATGCCAGTGCTGCTAGAGCCCCTCAAAGTTAGTTTGGGACAGCAGGGGAATACCTACTGTATTCCAGGGACACCCTGGGCTGGAGAAGAGGCAGCCCATGCTCAGGCTGACACAGAAGTTAAAAAGGGCATGCCAGATAAACATGCCTAGCAGATGGCACAGAATATGCCAGAACAGTTTGGCTGAAAGGACCCAGGGACATAGTCAGGGGATGGATGCCACAAGACCTTTAAGAGTACAGTTGGTGGGACATTTTAGGGCAACAATTTGACCATATTGGCATTTTTAAAGCTCTCCAAGCCAGATGGGTATGGTTGTTTGCTCAGATCTGTACTGCACTGGAGAGATTCAAGCTGGAAAATGGTAAATTGTTATCCAGTTTGGCCCACAGTCTTCAAAAATAAATAAATAAAGAATCTCTGGGCTGGCAAGATGCCTCAGTGGGTAAAGGTACTTGTCACCAAGCCTGACCCTCACAAGTTGTCCTTTGACCTGCTTGCTCCATGCACACAATAAATAAATAAATGCCATTTAAAAAATTTAAAAACCCTGTCTTAATTAGGATTTCTATTGCTGTGATGAAACACCATGACCAAAAAGCAACTTGGGGAGAAAAAGGTTTGGTTGGCTATGCATCCACAGCACTGTTCATGGAATGCAGTCAGGACAAGAATTCCCACAGGCGGGAGCTGATACAGAGGCCATGGAGGGATGCTGCTTACTGGGTTGCTCAGCTGCTTTCTTATAGAACCCAGGAACACCAACCTAGGGATGGGACATCCTACAGTGGGCTGTGCCCTTCCCCATTGATCACTAATTAAGAAAATGTCCTAAAGGTTTGCCCAAAATCAGATCTTTTTTGTTGTTGTTGTTTGAGACAGTTTCTCTGTGTAGCTTTGTAGACCAGGTTGGCCGCGAACTCACAGATATCTGCCTCCTGAGTTAAAGGTGTGAGCCACCATTGCCTAGCTCTATAGCCTGATATTAAGGAGACTTTTTCTCAACTGATACTCCTTCCTCTCAGGTGACTCCAGTTTGTGTCAAGTTGGCATAAAACCATCCAGGACAAAGTGTTATAGGGCTGGGACTAGAGTTCAGGTGGTAAAGGGCTTGTAGCATATATGAAGCCAGCACCATATAAACCAGGTGTAACGGCACTGATGAAGGCAGATGGAGCACGAGTTCAGCGGCAGCCTCACCTCAGGGGCTGCTGGGCAGCATTGACACTCAGGCTGTGGTGGAAACAAACCATGGGGCAGGCAGAGTCTGGGTTGGGGCACCAGTGTGAGGACCAAGATTGTGGACACCAATGAAGGTGGCAGTGTCATGATGCTTTTGATGGCTCTGAAGGTCACATATAATATCTGTTTTGATTTTTTTGCCGTGAGGCCAAGAGGCATGGGAACCCTGACAAGCCCCCCACTTTCCAAGATAGAAAACAGGGCTTGGGGCAACTTGGCACTGTCAGATTGGGATTGAGTGGACGGCAGGACCGAGGGATCAAGTGGAGCTTGAAACCTTCAGGAGAGTCAGAGTGGTGGTGCACAGTTTTAATCCCATTACCCCAGAAGCAAAGGCAGGAGGATGTCTGTGAGTTCCAGATCCTGCGTTAATTACTGTACTGTTGCTGAGAAGAGACACTATGGCCAGGATAACTTATAAAAGAACACACTGAATGTGTGGTTTACGTCCAGGGTAGTCTATGGTCACGTGGTAGGGAGCATGGCAGGCAGCAGGCAGGCATGGTGGTAGAGCAGTAGGAGAGAGCTCACACCTGATCCTCAGGCAGGAGGCAGACAGGTGGAGAAAGACTGGGCCTTTTTGTTTGTTTTGTTTTCCTAGAAAGGTTTTCTGTATGTAACAGCTCTGGCTCAGACCTGGAACCCAGGGAGCGGCCTGCGCTCCAGAAGTCCCAGGGTTTGTGGCCCAGCTCCTTCCAACGCCGGTAGGTGACAGGGAGGGGCCTGTCTGAGAAGGGGGGACATGGAGCGGGGCCAGTTTGTAGGGGGAGCGACCTTGAGCGAGTGAGCGGAGACTCACACAGTCAAAGTTTGCTTGAGGAGGGAGAACAGCCTAGTTGCTTACAGAAAGTGGGCGGGGTCTGAAGATGGGTGGGACCTACCTGAAGGGGACGTGGTCAGTAGTGGGAGGAACAGTGTGTCAGAGTTGGGGAGAGACAAATTGGGTAGGTCCTGGCTTTTAGGAAGGCAGGGTCGGTTGGGACCCTGAAGAGATGGGGTGAGGCATAAGGGCGAGGTCTGTGGACGGCTGAGGGCGATGAACGCTTGGAGAGGGATGCATTGGTTGAGTTCAGAAGCATCCTGATCTCTCCGGAGTTATGGCAGAGGAGGAGCCTGAGGTTGTGGGAGGGGTCAGTGGGATTAGTGTGAAGTATCCGGGCTCTTCGGGCAGGTGGGACGTGGGCGTGGCCTGGAGGTGATAGAGCACATTGTGGAGGGCTGTGAAGACACGGTCTTCTGTGGGGGGGGGGGGAATGCAGGGCGGGGATGAACTTCTGTTGCTGAAGGGTCAGGGCTATTCCTGGGGACCACATGGGGAGCCTTTGGTATGAGAAGTGGCCTTGAAAGTGGGTGGTGGTGCATAATTTACTGTGGATCTGGGTGACTCAGGATGTCCAGTGCCGTGAGCTCCTGGTGTGTCACCTACAGGTGACAGTCTGAACAGTGCCCCACTTCGTGCTGCAAGTCTCCAGTCATCTGTGTCTCTGTAGGCCCCCAGTCAAATGTGTCACACGAAGTTGTGTACCGTGTACCGGCTGAGTTTTCTTTTGGGTGACCATGGGTGTGTCTGCAGCCGGGTGGGGCTGTCCTTGCCAGGCCTCTGCTAGGCTTCAGAGGGAAGGGCTGCTCTGGAATGTTTGAAGGTGTCCTGAGGCCTTGAAAACCCCTCCTAGCATCTAGGTGTGCCTTAGTTGCTAAGGAAGGACAGGACCCACGGCCATAGTGCTGGGAAGTGCTTCACTTATTCCAATCTTGAGGGCCAGAACACAGTCAGTTCAGGAGTCAAGGGAGGGGGCACCTTTAATCCCAGCACTCAAGAGGCAGAGGTAGGAGGATCTCTGAGTTCCAGGCCAGCCTGGTCTGCAGAGTGAGTTTCAGGACAGCCAGGGCTACATAGAGAAACAGTTTTTTGAAAAATAAAATAAACAAAACATAAGAAAGGAGGAGGAACTGAGGCTCTGGCAGCACTGGGGAAATCGCTTACCTACCATGGTAAAAGTCATGGGTTCTGCACACCTTCTCCCAGCACTGGAGCTGGAGGCAAGTGCATCATCACGGCCATCCACAGCTGCATAGCCAGTTTGAGGTCAGCCTGGGCTACAGGCAACCCTGTCTAAAAAAGGAAAAAGAAGGCTGTGGGGCTTATAACTCCTGTTTCTAGAACAAGGCAAGTGGGGTAAGAAACTGGGAAGATTCCTCTGAGGTGTGTGTGTGAGAGAGAGAGTGTGTGTGTGTGTGAGAGTGTGTGAGAGAGTGTGTGTGAGAGTGTGTGTGTGAGAGTGTGTGTGAGAGAGTGTGTGTGTGAGAGTGTGTGTGAGAGTGTGTGAGAGAGTGTGTGTGTGAGAGTGTGTGTGAGAGAGAGTGTGTGTGTGAGAGAGTGTGTGAGAGTGTGTGAGAGAGTGTGTGTGAGAGAGAGTGTGTGAGAGAGAGTGTGTGTGTGAGAGAGAGAGTGTGTGAGTGTGTGTGTGTGAGAGAGAGAGTGTGTGAGAGAGTGTGTGTGTGAGAGAGAGTGTGTGTGAGAGAGTGTGTGTGAGAGAGTGTGTGTGAGAGAGTGTGTGTGTGAGAGTGTGTGTGTGAGTGTGTGTGAGAAAGAGTGTGTGAGAGAGAGTGTGTGTCAGTGAGAGTGTGTGTGTGAGAGTGTGTGTGAGAGTGTGTGTGTGAGAGTGTGTGTGTGAGAGTGTGTGTGTGAGTGTGTGTGTGAGAGTGTGTGAGAGAGTGTGTGTGTGAGAGTGTGTGAGAGAGTGTGTGTGTGTGAGTGTGTGTGAGAGTGTGTGTGTGAGAGTGTGTGTGTGAGTGTGTGAGAGAGTGTGTGTGTGAGTATGTGTGAGAGAGTGTGTGTGTGAGAGTGTGTGTGTGAGAGAGAGAGTGTGTGAGAGAGAGTGTGTGTGAGAGAGAGTGTGTGTGAGAGAGAGTATGTGTGAGAGTGTGTGTGTGTGAGAGAGTGTGTGTGAGAGAGAGTGTGTGAGAGAGAGTGTGAGAGAGTGTGTTTGTGTGAGAGAGTGTGTGTGTGTGAGTGTGTGTGTGAGAGTGTGTGTGAGAGAGTGTGTGTGAGAGAGTGTGTGAGAGAGAGTGTGAGAGAGAGTGTGTGTGAGTGTGTGTGTGAGAGTGTGTGTGAGAGAGTGTGTGTGTGAGAGAGAGTGTGTGTGTGTGTGAGAGAGTATGTGTGAGAGAGTGTGTGTGAGAGAGTGTGTGTGAGAGAGTGTGTGTGTGAGAGAGTGTGTGAGAGTGTGCGTGTGTGAGAGAGAGTGTGTGTGTGAGAGAGAGTGTGAGAGAGTGTGTTTGTGTGAGAGTGTGTGTGTGAGAGAGAGTGAGAGAGAGAGAGAGTGTGTTTGTGTGAGAGTGTGTGTGTGTGAGAGAGTGTGTGTGAGAGAGTGTGTGAGAGAGTGTGTGTGTGTGACAGTGTGTGTGTGACAGTGTGTGTGTGTGACAGTGTGTGTGAGTGAGAGTGTGTGAGAGAGAGACAGAATGTGTGTGAAAGACAGAGACTCCCTGTGTGTGTATGTGTGTGTGGCAGAGATACTCCCTGTGTGTGAGAAAGAGACAGTGTGTGTGAGTGAAAGAGACAGAGATTGTGTGTGTGCACGAGAGACAGACTCCCTATGTGTGTCTGTGTGTGTGTGTGCGCCCAGGTTGAAGTCCAGCCTAGGGGACCTAGGCACGACATCCCTTCCCCCCCTAAGCACAGCTGTATGCATGGAGCACCTAGCACCATAACCTGTGACCCTGCTTCTAGCACCCTAGAGAGGCACATATGGTTCCTTCAGCCCAGGGGATTTGGTGTGCCTTCCCAGGTGGCCCAGCAGGGGCTGCCTCACCCCTTACAACGACTTGTGATTTTCCATTTTCAAGGAAGAACAAACACATTTCCTTTGGGCTTCCTCTGGTGTAGAGAGGGGAGACCCCCAACCTGGCTTAGCCACTAGAGTATGCTTCACACAGCCATGTGGGAGGGGGGTCAAAGTCAAGACTGGGAGGTACTTTCACACCAGCAGTGGATGGCACAAGAGGGTCAGGACACTGTATTCAGAAAGCATTTATGAAGCACCTACTGTTTACCAGGTATGGATTGAGAACCTATAAACAAGGGCTCACGGGTTGCTTGGTGGAAGTCCTAGGGTGTGAATCAGGCAGGCCCAGCTGAAAGGTGTGAGCTCCTGGTGTGCTCCAGCTGGTGTGCTCCAGCAAAGAAGTGAAGGAGGCTGAGCAGAGAGAAAGGTGTGCTCAGCAGGTGGAGCAGAGACTGCAGAGCTTCAGATAGAAGGATGTGGCCAGAGAGGGGAAGAGGACACTGTGCTTCTGCCCAGGCATTGTTGATGGAGCACTGAGGATAGGCGGGAACCAACTGCAGGCTGGCTGAGTCCTGGAACAGCAGATGGAGAGGCTGTAGGGCACAGCAGAGGCAGGCTCAATGATGGAGAGCCACAGGGACATCTGGAGGAGGCAGCTCTGCTCTGTTCAGTTTCTTTGTTTCTGGGCCTCCTGGTAACAGGAGAAAAGTGCTCGCATGGCAAAGCTTACAGGTGAGCAGCTGACCAAGGGGGCTCAGTGACAGAGGCAATGATAAGTGGGAAGGAATTGGTGGGCCTGGGATCCAGCTAGAACCACCCACCACCTGAGTGGATTGGAGTGTGAGCCACCCACCCCCTGCAGACCAGCCAGCGGAGGTGGAGCTTCCCAGGCTGTCCATGGAGGACGCAAGGCCCATGTCCCAGATCAGTACCCTGCGCGGGACCCACTTCCACCAGCCTCCCCACAGCTGTGATCCCCGGCTTAGGGGTCCAGACAGACCAGGATGGGCAGCTGGCTAAGGTGGGTCTCCCCAGAGCTATGGGCCTCAGTTTCCCTCTCTGGAACAGGGCATCCAGTGGCAGTGGAGCCGCTGATGCTGCCTGTCATTCTTAAGAACTTGAAGACGCCAACAAATGGGGACTGGATATGTTCAAAGTAGCTGAGCTGAGCAGAAACCGGCCTCTGACAGCTGTCATGTTCAGCATCCTCCAGGTGCCTTTGCTTTGGGGGTGTCCTCTATCCCTCCCTCCATGAGGACACCGGAATGTTCAGTCCTCAGTTCTTCCCTTAAGCTGGGCGCTGAAGGACAAATAGGAATTTATTGGGTTTAATAGCTATTTTAGACAAGGCCCAGGGCTGTTCTGGCCTTGAAAAACCCTGGATTGGAACAGCAGGTTCCTGAATATGTTGTGGGGGCAAAGCTAGAAGGAATTCAGGGTGACAATGGCATCCTGGAGGGAGGGGCATTGGAAGATGGATAGGAGTTGGGTGAGGTGAGCTGGAGCTCAAAGCCAAGGCCCTGAGCTGGAGGTCTGTGAAGGAGACCTGCTCAGGACATTCCAGATTCCGGCAGACATGCTAGTGACACACCTGCTGACGCTGGAGGGTCACTACCATGCCGATGTGGTATACCACAACAGTGTGCATGCTGCGGATGGTGCAGTCTGCGCATGTGTTGCTAGGCACGCCCGCTTGGAGGTACCACGTCCAGCCGGGGACAATGGGTGGGCACGGGTGACGGTGGCTACCCTCAGCCCTGATACCCCCGACCCGCCCAGGCCGTGTTCACAGATCTGGAAGTCTTGGACACTATCTTTGCCTGTGCATCATGGCTGAGCTCTTCTAGCAGGGTGACAGGGAACGAGAGTCGGGCCTGCACATCAGCCCCATGTGTGACAAGCACTCTGCCGCAGTGGAGAAATCTCAGGTGCATGTGCTGGGATGCACCCAGTTGAGGGACGGGAGATGGGGAGTCCTGCTTGACCATGACCCCATGAGTGTCTTTTCTGGGATTGCCTGTGCTCCATAGCGGGGTGGATTTTCCTTTCTTTCTTTCTTTCTTCCTTCCTTCCTTCCTTCCTTCCTTCCTTCCTTCCTTCCTTCCTTTCCTTGTTTTCCCTGTGTAGCCATGGCTATCTTGGAACTCACTCTGTAGACCAGACCAGCCTGGAACTCAAGAGGTCTGCCTGCCTCCCAAGTGCTGGGATCAAAGTCATGAGCCACCACCACCCCTGCTAGGGCAGATTATTGGTTTGTGGTTTTGAAGACAGTCTCACTTTCTTACAAACTTGGCATAGAACTCACTGGCTTGAGATCAGCCTGCCTCAGCCTTCTTCGTGTTGGGCCATGATGAGTCAAGAGGGCTCTGAAGGATGAATAGGAAGGAAATGAGCATTCCAGGCAGAGGACACCTTGCAGCTGACTGTGAGACTGAGATTAGATCGATTCTAGGCTTCACTGTGACTTATGTGTCTCCCCTTCCTTCAGTCACCCTAAGGTGAAATTCATTGACTACATCGCCCACCCACTGTGGGAAACATGGGCTGAGCTGGTGCACCCTGATGCTCAGGAGCTGTTGGATACCTTGGAAGACAACAGAGAGTGGTATCAGAGTAGGATACCCTGCAGCCCCACCCACACCATGGGTCAACAGCACTCTGGCCTTGACAGGTTCCAGTTTGAGCTAACCCTGGAGGAGGCAGAGGAGGAGGATGAAGGACAGACTCAACACTGAGCATCCAGTCCTCAGTCACCGGGCACTAAGCTCCTGTCCTCCAAGACTATCCCAGAGCACAGGGTCTGTCCTGTCCAACAAGATTTTGGGTCAGCCTGTCATGGACCACAAAGTCATGGTCAGGTCCTGTGGACACCTATGGGCACTGGTGACTTCTGAAGTGATTCCTGGTGGTGCCAGCTTCTCTTTCCAGCCATCAAAGTGGACAACCAAGATTTGTGCATAGACAAGTCTTGGAGTCCACTTGGAAGCCTACAGATGGGGTCCACTCTGACCATAGTCTTGGCTGGAATGGTGCTGGTGTTTCTGCCTCCTTTGTGTCTCTCTGTGCTCCTGCTTCAGTCTGCACTTGATTGGGCGTGGTGCTCTCTATATTTTTCATTTGTTGTTGGTTTGGTCTCTTTTTGAAGCTGAAACAGAAGCCCGGATTCCCACATGCTCTGTGGGATTCCCACAGCCCCAAAGTCACTGTCTTTCACAGTACTAGATGTCCTGCCTTTACTGCGGCCCCCAGGGAGGATGCCTTTAGTTAATAGAGACCACTCCTCACCCCCCAATGAAGTCTAGTGTCTCCTGACACCTGAGGCTGTGCAAGACTCTTCATAGATACCCTGGTAGAAGGCCCCACATGGTCTGTTCACACATTCACTAAACACTGCTGGTGGGAGATCCATGGGGTCCTCTCTGTACTGACCTGAAGGTAGGGAGTACCAAGCAGTTCTGCAGTGAAACCCTTCATGGATAAGATCCAACTTTCAAGCCAGTATGTGGGGCCTCAGGGTACTCCAGGCTCTGGAGGAAGAGGGGGTAGGTGATAAGTGATATGCTCCACAAGAGGCTGGGGTTGTGGCTTAGGGGTAGAGCTCCTGCCCAGTGAGGGTCTTCTTGTCAGATCCATTCACTTGTAGAGAAACTGAGGCACAGTCATCCTCATGCCTTCTCAAAGCTTCCCTGCAGAGAGTGGGCACTAGTTTCTGGGGACCTTTGTGTACCTTATTACTGGTTCTCTGTTTATTGTTATTTTCTGGCTTTTTGAGACAAGGCCTATGATGTCCACCTCACAGTGGCAGAGAACGACACTCAAGCGATTTTCTTGCCCCCCCCCAAGTGCTTGACTCTGGTGACAGGCATTTGTCATAGAGCTGTTCCCCTCCCCTGTCCCCTCTGGGCCAAGGAACCAGAGAGCCAGGGCGGCCCAGGGTGGCAGGCAGCTTCCTCTGTAAATATTATGATTCCAGCTATTCATCCTCAAGAGGCACAAAAAGCCATCTGGGGTCATGCACAGAATGTTTCATTCTTCCTTCCAGATGTTTTAGTGATTTCCTGTTAAACAACGTATTATGTGGGAGAATTTGGAAGTCACACAAATGTATAAAGAAAATAAACTATTGGGCCAGCAAGATGGCTCAGCAAGGCAGGGAGCTTGCCTCCAAGCCTAATGACCTGAGTGGAAGGAGAGGACCCTCCTGGGCAGTGGTACTCTACAGGCAGAGACAAGTGGATTTCTAAGGTCAAGGACAGCCTGGTCTACACAGTGAGTTCCAGGACAGCCAGAGTTACACAGAGAAACCTTGTCTTCAAAACAAAAAAGATGTGAGAAATACTCATGTCGCTTCCCTCTGCTTGTCCTTTCATTTTCCTAGACGGAGGGTCTCTGTGTAGGTTACTGTGTAAATTCGAACTCATAGATCTGTCTGCCTGTGCCTCCCAAGTGCTGCTGGGATTAAAAGTTCCTGCCACCATGCTTGGTTGTTTTGAATTTATTTATGAGACAAAAATCTCACTTTTTAGTCCAGGATGATGACGGATTCACGATCTGTCTCAGCCTACCATGTCCTCAGATGGTAAAGTGTGTCACCTTGCCACCATCTGAGCTACAAGCACTCTGCTCACTGAGCCTCAGACCCTATTTTTATTTAGAAATAAAAGGGCAGTGGAGGTGGGTCACAGCTCCTCCCAGACTTTATCCCTTGGGAATAAACCCAAGCACAGCTAGGGGTATCACAAGCTCCTTCTGCTCCCTCAGTCCTCAAACCCATTCCTGGTCCCCATCCTTGCCCGTGTGGGCAGGGTGCTCTTGACATAACAGACTGATGGTCATTTTGTATCTGTTGCTCTGCATTCCACTGCTCCCTGGTGCATGTGGGGGAGCAGATAAACAAGTTTCTCCAGCAGCCCCGGAGAGGAGAGATCAGAGTATCCCCGGTTCCTCACAGGGGTGGCTGAGCATCCAGGTGACAAGTTATTCTGGTCCTTTGCCGCCTCTGCAGCTGGAGGTGCATCTATAAACTGGGCTAGGCCACTTTTCCAGTTCTGCTCCCTGTGAGATGGAGGCAATGAGGACCTTCCCAGGCCAAATTCTCACCTTGGCCCAAAGATTTGCAGGAATGTGTTGTATTTCATCATAACCCGGAAGTCTTCATTTCTGCTCCCAGCTCCCCGGGACACAGGGTCGCCTGGGTCCCCCTCCTCCCCCTCCCCCGTGATGGGCGTGGGGTGGCCTCTCTGAACTGTCTTTGCTTCCTGAGTCTTTCATTGCAATTCTGGGACTCAGGGGTCAGGACCCTTCTGAACACTAAATGCGCAGGGAAGCAAGGGTTCACTGGGGATCCATCCCTTTTCCTTTGTGCAGAACCGGACTCTCTCTCTCTCTTTCATTTCTTTGAGACAGGGTTTTATGTAGCCCAAACAGGCTTCATGACACTATGTAGCTAAGGATGACCTTGGACATCTGTTCCTCCTGTTCAAGTGTGAGATGACAGGTAGACATCATCCCGTTATGTTGTGCTGGGGATCGAACCTAGGGTGTTGTGCTGCTATGCAGGCTCCTCACAAACTGAAAAATATCCTAGACCCATTAAAAAAGAAACTTATTCAGGGCAATGGTGGTACAGGCCTTTAATCCCAGCATGTGGGAAGCAGAGGCAGGAGGATCTCTGAGTGAGTTCCAGGACAGCCAGGGCTACACAGAGAAACTACGTCTTGAAAATTTGAGATTTCTTTTTCTGTGTATGGGTGTTTTGCCTTCGTGTCTGTCATGCTAGGAACCATCTCTCCAGCCCCCTCAGCTTCCCCTCTCTTCTCTCCTCCTGTTCTCTCCCTCCACCTCTCCACTACCCCCATCCACTCCTCCTCTGTCTCCACTCAGACAGGGTAAGGTCTCCATGGGAATCAACAAGGCATGGCACATGAAGCTAAGCAGGAACAAGCTCCTCCTCCCTGCATCAAGGCATCCATCATAGGGAATAGGTTCCAAAGACTCAGCTCACGCAGGGGCAGGTCCTGGGCCCACTGCTAGGGTCCCCACAAACAGACCAAACTACACAACTGTCACCCAGATGCAGAGGCTCTAGGTCAGTCCCATGTCAGCTCCCTATCTGTCTTTTCAGAATCCTTGAGCTCCAGCTAGCTCAGTTCAGCTGTCTGTCTGGTTTCTCCATCATGTTCTTAACTCTCCCCTGCTCCTTGCTCAAACCATCCCTCCAACCTCTCTTCAACTGGACTCTAGAAGTTCAGCCCAGTGCTTGGCTGTGGATCTTTGCATCTGCTCCCATCAGGTACTGGGTGAAGGCTCTATGATGACAACTAGGACAATCTTATTATAGGGCTAGGCCAGTTCAGGCACTCTCTTCATTATTGCTAGGAGTCTTAGCTGAGATCATCCTTGTGGGTTCCCAGGAGCCTCCCTGGCACCCAGCTTCTCCCCAACCTCTCACCCCATCACTCTACTGCTCTGTCTTGCCCACAACTGGACAAGCCCAGTCTTATCTGAGAGGATCTCATGTAGCACTTACTTTGTAGCCAAGGATGATCGTGAATTCCTAATGCTCCTTTCTAGACAGGCCAAGTATGTATATGACAGAAATTTGCCATCAGGCTTTGCTTGGTGGTATCTCTCTGGACCCCTATTCTTTATTACAACTACAGACAGCTGAAGATGGGGTGGGGCCTCCACAGTTAGGACCTGTTGGTGGGATGCAAACGAGGTTCCCTCACACCGAAAAAGGACAGACATCGCTTTACTCCCTGTCTTTTACTCCTCCTTTTCTTTTGTTTTTGAGACAAGGTCTGACAGTGTATCCCTCAGGCTGGTGTGGAACTCGAGAGGTCCGCCTGCCTCTGCCTTCCGAGAACTGGGTTTAAAAACTGTCTTTTCTTCTTCAGTGGGTCTTAACATTCCAACACTTGAGAGGTTCAGGTGTTCAAAATCAGCCTCTGTTACCTGGCACTCGAGGAGGCCAGACTGCTACATGAGACCCTTTCTCAAAACAAAACAGAGCTCCTTGGTGCCGCCTGGAATGGGTCCTGCGTTTGTAAAGCAGGTGTTAGGGACTTCAAACCACTTTCGCGACTCGAGCTGTCTGGGTGCTAGCCTCTGCCTCTGCCCTTCAAACACCTGGCAGTCACCATTGGGCCACCAAGGCGTAAGAGAGTGATGACTGGGTAGTGGTACCGTCGCTCCAGATCATTGACCAATGAGACCTTCAGTTTTCCTCAGAGCCCCGCCCTCCAGAGATTCACATGCCCCGCCCCCAGAATATGCGCTGACCAGTGGGACCCCTTGGCTGCCTGCTCGGTCCCTCCTTCTGACGTCACAGGCTCGTTTGCATAGAAGTCCCGCCCCTGGCTTTGCAGGACGTCAGCGAGGACTGCAGGGGCCTGAGCCTCTGCCGCCGCCTGCAGCCCCGCAGCCACTCCTGGGGCCCGGTCACTAGTGCAGTCTCCAAGGGTCTCTGCCGTCAGCGTCGTCTCAGCTCGGAGCGGTCAAGGTGAGCAGATCCCAGGGCCACACACGGCGGAGCCCGAATTTCATTGACAGCTAGGGAAGAAGAGGGGTGCGTGATCCCGGTGTGGTGGCTGTGGGTTTCGCTTTTGGGGTCCCGCTTCAGACACCCCGTAACCTTAATCCTTTACCCGGCTCTGGGGCCCGGGCTCTGCGACAGAGGGGGAAGGGAAGGCCAGGCCTTGCGGGAGGCTATTGCGTGCTCGTGCTTGTGGGGTGAACTCGCGTGTGCGCGCCCGCTGGGCATGCACCGTGCTCGGTTGTGGAATCTTATGCGTTCATGATGCGCGTGCGCGGCTTGCGTGGGTCCGAGTTCAAGTATGCGCTCACACGCGTGTGGAGCCATGCTTGTGCGCAGTGTGTTCTCGCCAATGGCCAGGTGCACAGGGGTACCCTCGCTGGTGTTGGGGAATCTGTTTGTGCAGTTGTACATGGATGCAAGGAGCTATGCAAACATCACGCATGTTTGCTTGTTTTTCTTGCTAGCCCCACTCCTTTGCACACGGCAGGAGTTTTGGGTCATCCTGTCTTGGATGCTTCATTGTGTGTTCGTGCACGAGGGATTTTGTGCATGTGAGCCTGTGTTCACCCGTCTGTCACATGATGCAGCTATCTCAGGGCCCCAGATCTTTCAGGAGAGGAATAAGGATGAGGGAACATTGGGATCCTCGTGTACTCATGGGTCTCTTTAGGGCAATGAAAGACTGATGGGAAGGTGGGGCCCACCTCACTCTCCCCCTCAGGGTGCAGGGATCTGCAGGGGTGTTCCCTTCACAGCCTCCTTGAAACCTTGGGCCTCTCAAGGTCATAGCCTGTGCTGGAGGGCCCATGTGACACTGGGGGGTCCTGGTGGAAAGCGGGTGTTCCCCGGCTACTGACTGTGTGTAGTACCCATCCCGTGTGTGTGTCCTGCTGCATCTCTCAGGCCCTTTGCGCCCCGCCCCCACAGATGGCGTCGGCCACAGATTCGCGCTATGGGCAAAAGGAGTCCTCCGACCAGAATTTCGACTATATGTTTAAGATCCTGATCATTGGGAACAGCAGCGTGGGCAAAACCTCCTTCCTCTTCCGCTATGCTGACGACTCCTTCACACCAGCCTTCGTCAGCACGGTTGGCATAGACTTCAAGGTCAAAACCATCTACCGCAACGACAAGAGAATCAAACTGCAGATCTGGGTGCGTGGGGCCTGAGGGGAGAAGTCTTCCTGTCCCTCCTGTGTAAGCGGATGGAGCTCAGACATACGGTGTGCTTAAGTCCTGTGATGTGGTCCAGTGTGAGGGGAGGCAGCTGGGTAGCCCAGGATGACCCTGAATTTCGGATCCTCCTGCTACTACCTCCCCAGTGCTGGGATGAAAGGCTTCCCATCAAGGATTAAGTTCTTGATTTTTTGTTTTTTTGAGACAGGAACTTTTTATGTGGTCCTGGAACTCATTCTGTAGAGCAGGCTGGCCTTGAACTCACAGAGACACACCTGCCTCTGCCTCTCAAGTGCTGGGATTAAAGATGTACACTAGGGACCCATTAAAGTTTTGATATAACTTACCTCGTATCCCACCAAACTAGGCAGCATCTGGCTTAGGTCACTCTTGCAGTCATTGTCTTTTTCAAACCTCACATTGTTTTCTACACAGGGCATGGAGTTACTTATTCTTTTCCTTACTTTTTTCCTTTGGGGATGGGTAGGTTGAGACAGGGTTTCTCTGTGTAGCCCTGGCTGTCCTCGAACTCAGAGATCCACCTGCCTTTGCCTCCCGAGTGCTGGGATTAAAGGTGTGCTCCATTACCCAGCAGTTTGTTCTCTTATTTTTCTTTTTTCTCTTTTTCCTTTTTAGATTCTTGTTTTCTTAACAGTCCTGTGAATCTCCACTTCTGGCACAGGTCATTTGGGCAGCATCCAGTTTGTATTTGTTCAAAGAATGAGTGGTTTTGCTGTGACGCATTTGGGCACAAAGGCCACTCAGCCCCTTTTTCCTGATCCTGTCTCTGGACCTCAAAAGGGCTGCCTAATCAACCTGTAAACACACTTCCCCTCAGAGCAGCTGCCATGAGGCCCCTTCTGACCACCATCTCTTCTTTCCCCAGGACACAGCTGGGCAAGAGCGGTACCGCACCATCACCACAGCCTATTACCGGGGCGCCATGGGTTTCATCTTAATGTATGACATCACCAACGAGGAATCCTTCAATGCAGTGCAGGACTGGTGAGCTGCTCACCTACTCAGAATGGAAGAGCTGGAGGCAGCTGGAGCAGTAATTTAGTTGGGAATGCCTGCCTTGCTTGGACAGCCTTGAGTTCTGTCCCCAGCATGTCCAAAAGACAAGAACAGGGTGGGACAAACTATGTGGGCTGTTTTTAAGGCTTGGGGTTGTGGAAGGAACACAGGGTAACCAATAAGCTACACAAGGGCATTTTAATGCTCTGTTCACCCAGGTAATGGGAGGTCGGGTCTGTAGTCCCAGGTACTTGGGAAGCAGAGTCAGGAGGAGCACTTGAGCTCACTTGCTCCTGGCTGAGAAGTTGTGAACATGTGTGAGAACCTGGATTCCATCCACAGCATCATAAACCCGTTCTGCCACACCTCTCCATTCAGTGTAGTAGATAAGAACGTCAGATGTCATCCCAGCATTTGGGAAGCCGAGGCAGGACAACCTGGGCTCTCATGAGAAAAAAGCCAGCTCAGTTACCAAGGGACAGGGTACTTAAGTGTCAGGGCCAGGCCCTCTGACTTCCTCCTCAGCCTCTGGCTGCCTCCCACAGGTCGACTCAGATTAAAACTTACTCATGGGACAATGCCCAGGTGCTGCTGGTGGGAAACAAGTGTGACATGGAGGATGAGCGAGTGGTGTCTTCAGAGCGTGGCCGGCAGCTCGCTGACCACCTGGGTGAGTGTCTAGCAGGACTGCAGCCCTCATCAGGCTGGACCAGGGGCCCTGGTCTCTGACACCTATACCCCTCATAGATCAGGGCACGAGCCTGAACTCAGGTGGCTCATGCTTGTGAAAGCTAGCCACTCTTCAGGAGGCTTCCGCAATGGGTCTTGGTCAGAGTTTGCTAGCTTAGTCATGGGCTAGCTTCAAGAAGGTGCTGGGCCTGAGAAGCATCTAAGTTTTTGGACTAGAAAGAGAATCCTGGGTTGTGCATGCTGGGAGCCAAGCCATGCTTCTTGGAGCAGGCATAACATGCTGGGTGTGGAGAGTGGTAGGTGGAAGGTACAGACTAAGGGACAGCTAAACCTATGTAGTTGTGATGGTGGAACATGACTGCCCCCTAGAGGAAATGTATCTCACTACATGCTGAGATACTGAGAAATGGGGCCATGGATGTTGAAGGAAAAGACAGGTCTGAGTGTTAGAGGGTTCTGGAATGGGACTATGAAGCCTGGCTGGGTGGTCATGGAAGACTCACCCTCACCCCTCCATTCCCCCAACACAGGGTTTGAGTTTTTTGAGGCCAGCGCCAAGGACAACATTAATGTCAAGCAGACCTTTGAACGCCTGGTGGATGTGATCTGTGAGAAGATGTCGGAGTCGCTGGATACCGCTGACCCTGCAGTCACAGGCGCCAAGCAGGGCCCTCAGCTCACTGACCAACAGGCACCTCCTCACCAGGATTGTGCCTGCTGAGCCACACCCCCACCAGGGGCAAGCCCCCATCCCACCCCCCTATTTATTATTGTAGCTATTTATTTATTTACCATCTGAGGACTTCCCTGGGTGCATCCCCCATCCCGCCCTGCACATTTGCCCATCCCTGCTCTGCTCTGTTGTGCTGTGGTCACTGTTCCCCACCTCAAGACCTCTCCCTTTTAGTTTTGTAAACCACCCCATCCAGCTGTCACTGTAAAGAGGGGACCAGATGTCACTTGGAAGCAGGCTGGCAGGCTGATGGGAGATGGCAGGGCCTGCCAGCCCCAAGGCTGGTGGATTGCCATATGGACCACTGGGCTGACACAGGTTGGAGTCCTGCTTGCCTGGGCCCTCTGCCCCGTGCTACTTGACCTTTGGAGTAGGTGGGATATATTTACTTCCACTACTTTGGGATATCCCCAAACTTGTTCTGATGTCATGAGTGTCAAACGTGACCCCACTTCCCTAGAAGTTATGAACACTACACAGTTCAATAAAGCGAATGGACCTTGCTGAGTCTCTGCTGGGCCCCCCTGCCCCAACCCCCTACACCAGCAGCCAGTCTTCTGATTAAAGAAAATTTAATGAAATTTCTACATGGCTGCCCAATTTCACATGAAGCTTTTTGAGGCCAAACCAGATCCATTCCAAGGCCATGCAGCATGTCCTTGCCTTTGTCACCTGGAATCCAGGGAACCTCAGGGTGACTGGGCCAGAGTGGAAATCGCAGGCTGACAGGACTTCTTGGCCTGAATGAAAAACCTGGCGACTGACAGCTAGTGCTGGAGGCTAATTCACATGGGGGAACTGCCTCCATAGGGACTGGATAGCTGGTCCAGACTCAGTCAGCCTGGGTTTTGGATGTGGCCGAGGTCTGACCTGCTCTGGAACCTCCTATGGGAGTGTGTCCATGGCACTTCAAGCTCAGTCCACGCAGCCCGGAGTGGGAAGGGGTTCAGGGGCCTGTGTACAGCAGAGGGTGGGTCACACCAGGCATAGGGCTGAGCCGCACAGAAGAGCCCCTCTCACCCAGGGATTGAGCTCACCCAGTACTTCAGGTAGGACAGATAAGTATCCCAGCCCAGCGTCAGCCCGTTGATATAGGTGACTCGGAAATGCGATGGGATGAAGAGGAAGTTCACCAGCTGAGCGGCTGGCCAGACACACCAGTCAGCCTGCAGGAAGGCAGGCAGGCTACCGTAAGAGGGCAGGTGGCTATGAGGGGCAGGGCTAGGAGGATGAGTGGGGCCAAAGTCTTGATGGTGGGTCTGGAAAGTTGAGTGGGGGTGGAGCCACGTTAAGAGGACCAGCCTGGTCATGCCCACCTTGTAGAAGTCCCAGAATTTGGCACGCAGCTCCTGGCAGCTCTCCTCCAGCGTCTGGCCTTCCAAGCTGCCAAGGCCTGGGAAGAAGAATGCAAAGGCTGAGGTGGCTGTGGCAATAACACTGGCTCATTCAAAGTGACCTAGGCAGAGCACCAGGGCAGGTCAGAGAAAATGCACAGCTGGTGTCAGGAAAGGGGCGATGACTGGAGTAACTTATGACATTACAAGTCCACACTCTTCCCAGAACACCAGTGATTATCTTAGCCATTAATCCAGGACTCACCCCACCCCTCAGGGTTCATTGGCCTGCAGGCCTCAACTGACTGCAGCTTTGCACCCAAGCTACCCCACAGCCCACAGGCACTGTCTTTGCCACTCTGCCTCTCCCCACTGGTCCCCTAGCCCTCCTGCCTCCCTGGGAGTCTGTCCCATCCCCACACGATTCTGTTCCTATTCCAGTGGCACAAAAGTGCAATATGGTTGTGAACTCAGCCTTGGGGAGAATTGTCAGGTCTGAGGCCAACCAGGGCTACATAGTGAGACTTTCTCTATGTAACAGTTCCCTTTGTTAACTCGACAGAGCCTAAAATCGCAGATGAGAGTCTCCAGGGACTGTCTACATGGGTGGCCTGTGGTATGTCAGTATAGACTTAATTAACTATGTAGGAAAACCCAGCCCACGGTGGGCTTCACCATTGCCAAGGCAGAGGGTCCTGGACCGGAGGAATAATGAAGCTGAGCACAGGCAGGCTGACACGAAGTTCTCTCACTCTGGCTGTGATGTGATTAGCTGAGAAGTTCCTGCCTTGATCTCTCCCCACGATTGTAGCTGAAATGAACTCTTATGCCCCCAGGCTCCTTTTGGTCCGGGTATTTTAAAAAGCTGGGTGAGGTGGCACATTCCTTTAATCCCAGGCAGAGACAGGCAGATCTCTGTGAGTTCAAGGCCAGCCTGGTCTACAGGGTGAATTCCAGGACAGCCAAGACTATACAGAGAAATAAATAAATAGATGAAAAAGAAAGAGAAAAGGGCCTGTCAGCATTTTCTCTGGGCACAAAACAGTCTACCCATTGCAAGCTCTGAGGGCCACGATCGTCACCACTTCTTACCCAGGAAGTACCAGATGCCCAGGATGGGAGATGCCACCACCTGATCTACCAGAACCTTCTTCATCACGCTCGGAAGGCTTCGTAGGCCCGAGGCAGGGAGGAGGCGGTCCAACCACAGGTACCAGAAGTGCAGGAAGGGGCCCATGCTGCAACCCACCGCAAACATGCTGGCTGGGGGCGGAGAGAATCAGGATACACCCTGCTGGCTAAGTGCCAGGAAACCCCTGGGGCGACTGCAAGTTCCCTCCCGGGTGACTAGCCTGTCATCAGGGTGATTGACAGGTCTCGCTAGGATGAATTGGCGCGTCCGTCCGGTCGCGGACCGGTCCCGCTCACCTGAGCGCCGCGCACTGAATCTCTGTCCCGGTCGCGCGCGCACCTCCCAGGCCTGTCGCGCGCCGTCGCCCGCGGCCATAAGCGTGCCACAGCCCAGCGTGTTGGTGACGAGCAGCGCGCGGCCCTGGAACAACGGCCGCCCCGCAGCAAGCGCCTTCCGAGCCCAGCGCCAGCCGCCAGAAGCCATAGCAGCGCACACGACCGAACCTCGGCCGCGGACACCAGGAGCCTCCGCCGCTCGCGCCCCGGCCCCGCCCTTTTCACGGGCCAATCACATGCCTCGGCGCCGACCACGCCCAACCAATAATATGCCGCGCCTCAGAACCGCCCTGCTTGACACGAACCAACCAGAAGCCCCAAATCCGAGGCATCAGCCAATCGCCCAGACGCGTTGGGCTACGCCATCACGGAAACGAAAGTCCGCCTCTGCTCTATCTGTTCTCAGCGGACTAATAGACAAGCGGACCTACACTGGCCAATGGCTGAGCGGGATCTCGCGGGCTAACTCGTGTCCCGCCCCTTGAACCGAACTGACCAATCGTAGGTCTTGCGTCTCTGGCTGCGCAGGGCGGGGAGGGACAGAAGTCTCCCGCAAGGCGTAGTTTGTTTCTTAGCCACAAAGCCTCCTGGGAGTGGGCGGGCCAAGGAGCATTTGACAGCTGCTGCAGAGCTTAACCTTGGCGTGACCTCTCCTGTGTGCTGGTATTGTTATCCTAAAGATGCCCGGGTAAAGTACGTGGACACCGGTCTAACCCCAGCTGTTTGAAACCTGTTGTCATGTAGCCCAGGATGGCTTTGAACTCCTGCCTCCATCGCTGTAAAACACGCCTGGGTTTTGAAGACTGAGTAGGCAGATTACTAATCATGTATTCATGTATTCTCTTCACAGCAACTTTGTGTCGCTGCAGAAACAAACATCTTTACCTCCTTCATTCTTCGCTTTTAACTGTTTCACAAACCATCATACTGTTTTCAGATGCCCAGGCTGGGATTCTAGCTCCCGCTTGCCTGTACACTGTCCCCTTTCCTTGAACAGTAACATATTTTCCCTGGATGAAGTTTCCTCTGGGACTTGTAGGTCTTCTGTGTGAAAGGCTAGATAGAGATGAATCCATGAGTTGTGTACTCACTCTTCAAATCCCCAACCACCTTACACTTCATCCTCCCAGCCCTCACCTCCCTCCCCACCGGGTCCATCCAGGCTCCATCAAACGAGGAACAAACTTGGTTCTGCATTTCTGGGCAGGGGATTGCCAGCAACTGACCTTGTCATTCAAGGGAGGTATAACATCAGTACTGTCACACAGGATCTAGAGTCACCATGGTGACAAGCCTGGGCCATGAGGGATGGTCTAGAGCAGCTGTTCTCGTTCTCAACCTTCCTATCCATTCTTAATGTTCTTCATGTTGTGATGACCCCCAACCATAAAATTATTTTGCTACTTTATAACTAATTTTACTACTGTTTGAATGGTAATGTAATATCTGAGATATATGAGTCTAAGAGGTCACGACCCAGTGTGAGGACCACTGGGCTGTACTGGTAATTGCGGTGAGATGGTACCCAGTGTGGGTTGCATCACCCCACCATTCACAGGCCTGCTTCCTGACTGTGGGTGCTGCCTAGCCTCAACTTTGGCCCAGGACAAACTACACGAGGTGACCCAGCACAGTCCCTTCTTTAAGTAGCTTTTGTAATTTGTCACACAATGAAAGAGTAAATCATAGAGACTGGCATTTTGGGATTTTCAGATGAGGCGTGAACTCCAGGGTCCCTGGGGCACAGCTCAGGGACAGACTGTGTGCTGAGACCTGTGTAGTTCTAAGTTACACACCCACATTCAAAACAAAAACATGCTGGGAACAGCACTTGGGAAGCAAGGACAGGTTCCAAAGCTTGAAAAACAAACAAATAAACAAACCAAAAACCAACCAAAAAAACAAAACCTCACAAACTAAAACTCCAGGAAAAATGAAGCACAGCAATCTAATTATTCAATCAATTTAAATTTAGCACCATTCGATAGCAAGGCAAGATTCTTGAACATGTGGAGGAGTTTCGAGTCTGTCTTGTGGGATGCATACAAGTTTGCTTGTTGATGGACAGTATCTCTTGAGGGCTCTGGATTTTAAAAAGCTGAGCAGCTGGGCTCTTGTTTTTCTTATGACAATGACCTTCACTTATAGCAAACCTCCCTGGGGGAGGTGGCCATGGAGGAGCAGATGTCTGGTTTCTCTACTCCCTGGAGGGGGTGGAAGGCTAGGAGTCAGGACCCTTCTGGGAGACTCAGCTTCCACCCAATTACCACACCTTTCCCCTATTTGTGCCCAGCTCACCTGGTACAATTGACAGACAGAGCTCAGGAGCTGGCTGGGATCCTTCAGAGGTTTCTGCAAGCCACAGAAGGCATAGTTAAGCACAAGTTGGGAAGATGCATGAGCCTGGGAGCACAGCACTGGAGTGCTGAGGCAGGGGGATCACTGGTAGTTCCAGGGCAATCTCAGCTGTGCTGAACTAGGCAAGGTAGCTAATTTGGCACTCTGGTATCAGGGTATAAAAACTTGTGTGAGCACAGACTGGGTTGTCTCTTTTTTCTTACTTTTCTGGATTTTGGAGTATTTTTTTTTCTAATTAAATTATTCTCTTTAGCCAGGTGGTGGCACACGCCTTTAGTCCCAGCACGGAGGAGGCAAAGGCAGGTGGATCTCTGTGAATTGGAGGCCAGCCTGGTCTAGAACTAGTTCCAGGACAGCTAGGGCTGTTACACAGAGAAAACCTGTCTCGAAAAGAACAACATTAACAAAACTATTACTTTTAAGTTTATATCTTATTTCATGTTTTTTTTGCCAGCATGACTGGGCACCATATTTGTACAGTACCAATGGAGGTCAGAAGAGGGCACCCGATTCCCTGGGACTAGAGTTACAGATGTGCGCCACCTTATGGTACTGGTGGTAATACAACCATGGTCCTCTGAAGAGAAGCAGCACTCTTACTCTTAACCCCTGAGCCAGCTCTCCAAACCCCTAATGTGGTGTCTTCTAGTCACTCTCCATATTGCTTTTTAAAAACCGTCTTTTTTTTTTTAATTGGGGATGTCTGTATTAGATGCTGCTTGATGAGGATTCTGGAGATTGACCTTGGTTCCTCTGGAAGGGCAGCTCCAGCTCATATCACAGCTGCACTCCCCAGGGAGCCCCGAGGATCCCCTGTGCTGGATTACATGCACTCACCACTACACCCAACTTTTTCACAGGGGCCTGGGGATTTGAACTCAGAGCCTTGAGCTTGCAGGACACTTTACTGACTGTACAATGGAGATCCTTACCTCATTGACCAGGACCCAGGGTACATACTCATGGGGTGGTTGCAGGGCCTCGGTGAGCTGAGCATTGGCATGCATGAGTTGCGTGCCACGTTCCCCCATGGCACACTCCATGATACTGTCTGGAGACACCTCTGGTGCATACACCTGCAGGCACTAAGGAGGGGGAGGCTTTGCTCAGTTCCCCTTGTTATTATGACAACAGTCCGAGGGGCCCCAGACAAGACATTTCCTCACTGCCCAGAGACGGTTGTCTGGGTGGGGCTTCTCAAGCTGAGGCCCAGGGTGAGCTTGTCTCCCTGTGACACTGGCTCTGTAGCCTTTGCCCCCTGGGATCTCATTACCTAGGAGCCTTGTACAAGGGGTTCCCTTCCTACTCCTTCCCAGTGTCTCACCCTCCAGTCCCACTAACTGAGCAGGGTTGGAGGCTCTAGCAGGTTGGGATGCCTGAGGGAGTTATTTCTCACAATGCCCAGGGAAGTAAGAGCTCCTGGCTTATCTCTTGTCATGTTATCTGTGTCCAAATAGTGAAGGTCCCGGTTCTGCTCACAGTCCTCAAGTTTTTCCATTTAAGAGGTGGAAGCTCTCCAGGAGGGCGTGGCTTAGGTGGAGGCCCTGGGGGATCACCTCCCCCGCCCCCTCCCGCCCCGTGGCTCGCCCCCCCCCCCAGCTCACGGGCCCTAGTTTCTTCTCCATGTCGTCCATCTCCTCCACACAGACGATGGTCAGCAACGCTGCCTCCTTTTCCAGCTTATCCAGCAGGCAGGCCTTGGAGAGGCAGGCAAGGGTGGGCGGCGCAATGTAGTAGTCCGTCATCATCCGTGTTCCCCCCCCCTCTCCCGCACTGAGCGGCAGCTCACCTCCACCTTGTTCAGCCTACACTCCAGCTCCCCATGCTGACACGTGAACTCCCACGTGCCGCTGACATTTCTTTCCTGCAAGGCACCTAAGGATGAGCTCAGGAGTCCAGGCGTCCCCGTTCCCCGGCACCCCTCCTGCCTGAGTTTCCCCACTTCCTGTGCACCTGCGCGTTTCCATAGGGCACCAGTGTGATGTTGATAATTTCCATAACCATCAACCAGGTCGGGAACAGATCTCGAACCAGGAAGTATCGACAACCTCCACAAAGGGATTCATAATAGAGGCTAACATTGACCGGCGGAGCAGGGGGCAACGGGCGCGGCCCGAGCAGGCACAGGTCCTTGGCCTGGAAGGAGAGAGGCGTCCGGTGAGGTGTAGCCCCCAGGCCCCGTTGCCCCCGCTGACACTTATGTTTGCTCAGTCTAGGGCCACTGGGGACCAGACCCAGGGCTGTCATTTGCACATTCTCGGCGTGCAATCTCCCACCCAGGGCCCTCTGAGGATTGCTGTAGTCTACCTCGCATTCCGCAATCACAGTTTATCTGCAAAACGGAAACTGGCTGGCTTGCAAACAGTAGGTTCTCAGCAAATGCACAATCCTGGCTAGTTCAGTAAGCGCTAAGACATGCATATTTCTACCTGTACATGGTGGCTCATGACTTTAATCACAGCACTAGGGAGGCCAGAGGCCAGAGGCCAGACTGGTTTACATAATGAGTTTCAGGACCGCCAGGGCTACACTGTGAAACCCTGGCTCTCCAAAAAACAAAAACGGAAAACAAAACCAAAACGACAACAAAATAAGAAAAACAAAGTAAGTGAAAAATAAGACATGTATATTTCTAGTTACTGTTCTCAGCCCTGTTTGGCGGAGCACTCTGAAGCCAAATGCATACTCATTTTTTTAAAAATATAATCTTGCGCACCAGAGCTGATCCGAGGCCTTTCACCCACGCGAACTATTCTTCCTCTCCAGTGACCCAGAGAAACTTCACCCTGTCCAACGCCTGCACTGGAGGTGCCTAATGCATGCAGGCTTCCGGTTCCGGGGAGGTTGGGAGTCGAGCCCAACTTTGAGCAAGGAGCTCCGCGTGGGGCATGTGTTTGCTCCGTGTCTGAAGTATGCCAGCCCTCCCTTCCTCGGCTGGAACGCACACAGTAAGCAACAAGAGGGTGGAGACGGGCCAGTGACTCAACAGGTCTAGAGCAGAAACCACCCCACTCCCGCCTACCCCTCAGTTCTTTGGCTCAGATGTATACAGTAGGTGGTTGATAAATGCTCAGGCAAGGTGGGAAGGGGATAGCTGCGTATCTCAGACCTGCGATGGGGAAGTGAAACGACTTGGCCACAACCAGTCCCCAGACAGAAGTAGGTGACTGCGTTCCTTGGGTACCTTGGAGTTCCCCAAGTGAGTTCAGCGAGTGCGCAGAAGTAGCCTGACCCTCAGTCCCCTCCAGCACGTCGTGGTTCCTACCTTGCAGGTGGCAGCAACCCTGGAGGACGCTAGCACTGGAGACACTCTGGCTGCTTTGGAGGCCTCAAGTAGAAGCAGTAGCAGTAGCAGAAGGGGCAGCAATGGCAGGAACAGAGACCGGGGCATGGCCGCGGAGGAAAAGGTTGGCTGAACTGCTGGCCGGGCCTTGGAGGCCGGAGACTTTAAGCAGGCGGAGGCCCCGCCCCCGGAGACCACGCCCCTCCCAGGCTCCTACCCCAAGGCCTTTCTAGTAAGTAGGCTCTACCCCAGCCAGATGTTGCACCCCAATTCACGAGGCTACAGGGCTCTGTCCTGTGTTCCCTCCTCCTGGGGCTAGCATGTCCTGTCGTATCATGTGAGGCTTTTGGATCGTAGACAAAGGGGGGTGGGGCGGTTATCTCCAGAGGCACAAGACAGGAGTCCTTGCCTCCTTCCCTCTAGCTTAGCAGAGGTGGGGGAGTGACACTCTTGTCATTAATTCCTGCCCCTACCACTCCAGGTCCCAGTACATCACCCACCTCCCCTGACTCAGGCTAGACCGCAGGACAGAAGCCAGCTCAGGCAGGCCAACTTCCCATCTCAAAGGTCCCAGGTCCTGGGCCCTGGCTTGGGGTGGAGGACACAGCTGGGGTACTTTCTTCAGGAAATTGTGTGGGCAAGACCCCTGACACTGCAGAACCTCGTGGGGAGGGTGGGCAGGAGTACACCTGTACAATGGAACATGAATGACACAGAACCACCAGAAGGGCTCAAAGGTAATCTAGGTTGGGACCAAGTCAAGTTGAAAATGGGCGCTAGGGACCTTGGGGCAGTGACAGGCCACAGAACAGCAGCAGCAGAAAATGCTCCAACCTGGCTGGTAACTGAAGCAGCCAGGCTGAGGCAGGACTCAAGACAGGGTCTGGTCCACTTCTGGGAAGGCAGTGGTTTTCTGGGCAGGAGGCAGCAGATTGCTGAGGTAATGGTGACTTGCTGAGTTCCACAGCTGGTGAGGGACCGCACACTGAGGGGGAGCTGCTCAAATAAGACTGGGCCTTCTTGAACCTCAGTCTGGGTAGTTGGATCTACTGCTGAGCCATATCCCCAGCCCCTTGCTGGGGGATCCTAGGGGAAGCCTCTGCAGGAGTCAGGGGGGACCAGGTGCAAAGCACAGGTAACATTTGTTTCCTCTTATGGAAGCATCACTCTCCTGCCTCAACTTACCTGGCTCTGGCATCACAAGATGCAGTTTCCCGTAAGTAGCCGCAGAATGCTGCCTGGAAATCTGGGACTGTGAGGCAAACACATCTATATGGGACTGGGTCTGAGATGGGCTGTGTCCATTCATTCGTCCAAGCTGAGCCCAAAGGTGGTCTTGGACGAGGGAGCACAGGCAGGGGCAGGTTGTGGGGTGAGGGGAGCACTCTGTAGAGCACTCCTGGACTCAAGTTTTGATGTGTTCCCACCCCAGGGCAGAGCTATCACTTTATTTTTGCTAATGAGCACAGGCAGGCCCTTAGGGACTTGTCCAACAGGTGTGTAGAGGGCCAGATCATGGCCTCACCTCATCACTCAGGGAGACTAGGGGCATGAGACACCCTCCTGGATGGCACCTCTCTTCCCAACAAGGAAGTAGATTGTGTGGGTGGGACCAGGCAGAACTGGTGCCTGCCTGAGCAGCTTCAGAGCTCTGGGCAAACCCACAGCCTGGAGCAGAGGAACTCAAGAGAGGGGCTACTCTTGGGTCTGGGGTTCCCAGAATGGGGTAGACACTGAGTTGCAGCGCTATGCTCTCTGATCCTGGACAAGGTCTTAACCTCTCTGGTATTGAGGGTTGGAACAGAGGAAAGGGAGCATTGAGTCTAGTGTTTGGTAATCAAAATGATAGGTGCCTACAGCGTAACCCCAGGCAGGCCAGAGTCTGTGGCTCACGATGGGGCGAGAATCCCAGTCCCCAAAGACACTCAGCCAACAGGTATAATGTTTCATATTCGCAATAAACGTACCGTACAAAACCCACTGCCCATCAGTACTAGGCAGGTGTAGGGTCCAAGGGCAGTGACACCCAGGGTCCTTGTCCCAAAGGAGAGGAGACTGCACAGTCAGGAGAACAGCACAGGGCCTGGGCATGGCCAGGCAGTGGCTGGAGTTCTAGTTCTGCCTTCTGAGGGGTGAGGTGGGGGACTCAGCAGCTGCGGGGTAACCCCCTGTGGCTGGTTTCACTTCAACCTTTAGAGGGGAAGTTGGGGTCCACGGGGCGGGTCCCGCCCGGCCCCTAGTGTCCAGGCTGAGTTCCTGGAAACAGCCCAGCAGAGTTCCTTCCTGCCCTAGCCCCCGGAGCTATGGCTTAGAAATCCTCGGGGTGCCCAGACGAAGGCTCCCCCGCAGCCTCTGTAAACATGGCAGGCACAGTCGGGAGGGACAGGGGTGTGGATGAGGCAGGGGCTTTCAGCGGGCCGCGGGTGGGCCAGGCCCAGGGGCGCGCACAGGGTGCGCGAGGGTGACTGTGAGCGCATCATTGTGCTGCACGAGCGAGGCATGCTGGTAGTGCAGCACCAGCTCCTTCAGTGATGCGTACAGGTTGTAGGGCTCCGCGAAGCCAAAGCCTGTGGCTGTGCGGTAGATGACACAGTGCTTGGTGTCGCCATCAACCCTGCAGGCCGAGACAATAGCTCAGAAGGGAGGCCGTGCCTGCCCCCCATTCCCACCTGGCCACACCCTCTCCTGGCTGGCTAGGTAGGGCCCAGCACACAGTGGATGGTCAATGCAAGCTCCATGAATGCCCCACCAGACCCCAACCAGGAACTTACACCACAGAGCATGCATAACAGCCTCGCTGGCTGCTCTCTCGGATGAGGAAGGTCCCATCCCGTTTGCCACTCAGCATCTCCTCTGCCTGTGTGCGATTGATCTTGCCCACGTACCACGTGCGCTCCTCGTGGTGGGGGAGGGTGTCTTCATCCTCCATCAGTGAATACTGGCTGTGGGGTGAAGCAGGGAAGGGGCCCTGGTCACTCATCCACCAGTGCTACTGCCTGGCAAGCTCCTATGCATCCTCCACTCCGCAATGCAAATGCCCCTCTCCCCTTTATGAAGTCCTCCTTGCCCCTTGCTGGGTGCCACTCACTCCTCAGTCTCGTTCTTGATTCCCAGCCACTCATTGATCTTCCTCTGTCGGGCACCTTTCTGGGTGAGCCACCTGACAGGGGAAAGGTAGGTGAGCATGTTGAGGAGAAACTAAGGTGGAATAGAGTGCAGTGTCTCTGGCTGCTGTAGGAGGCATCAGAACCCGTGGCTTTCCCAGCACCAGAGGACAGCACAGCAAGGATGTGTGCGGGCGCCCCCTGGTGTGCAGAAAGCGGGAGCGCAAATTCACTCACACGAGGTACTGGTCACGGATCTTGCGCAGCTGCATGAGGTCTGGCTTGAGGCTGTTCATGCGCTTGTCGATCTCCCGGTTGTCGGAGGCCTGCGCCCGCAGGTCCTGTTCCAGCTTTGTGCGGCTCTCATGGATCTCAGCGATTCGCGACTTGAGACGCTCAGAGTTCAGCAAGATCCTGAGGAGAGGAGCCTAGTAAACTCCTACACTCCCTCCAAAGCCCATTTCTACTTACCACCACCAACCTCCTTCAAGGAGTGGGCACAGGAGCCTACACACCTCTGCATCTCCTTCTCGTTGCCCTCTCGCCGGAAGCGCTCCAAATACTCCTTGCTACACTTTTCCTGCGTCTGGCCCTGTTCTTCGAAAATCTTGATGGTCTCATTGAAGGCCTCTATAGCTGTGCGCTTCATCTGAAGCTCCTGGGGATGGAGTCATCTCAGTAACTCCCAGAACTCCCTTAAAGGCCCTCATTGATAGGTAGTGAAGGGTGATTTTGCTCCAACTGTCTCCTTCATGGGGAACAACATTCTCCTAGCGCTGGCTACCTGCACTAGCCTTCAAAACTCCACTCTCCAAACCCATCCTTCATTCATGTTCTTTTCTGGGAACTCTGAGCACCACTGCAAGGGAATGGTGTCTTAGCACTGAGTACACATGGGGAACTATCCTGGCTTCCCTCTCCGCAGCTCAGTTCCCACATGTGCAGAGCCCAGGTACCTGGGAGGTCCGTGTGTATTCCTCATACAGCTGGTCATACTCGCGGCTCTTGTCCTGGTACTGCTGGTGGTAGACCTTGAGCTGGGCACCCACAGCCTCGACACTGTCCTCCTTCACCACCTGGTCCTGGGATCCAGGACACAACATCACTGTTTTTGCTCCAAAACCCAGGCCCAGCCCATCACTTGTGCTGCCCCCACAGCAGAAGGCACCTGCTGGTACTTGGACACAGGGTAGAGCAGGCGCGTGTCCAGCTTGGCATTATATTGGGCCAGAGACTCATGGCGGTAGTGGGAGATGAGTTCTACCACGGAGCAGAAGGTGAGGGGCTCTGAGAAGCCATAGTGGCCATCCCGGTGGAAGACTTTGATCAGCTTGTTGTTCCCGCCTTTCCTGCAGGTGGGGGTGGAGTCAACATCATGGGTGGTCCCAAATCCCTGGTCCCCCACTGCCTGGGCACTGGCCCCACCTGAGGGTGAGTGTGTACTCTCCTTGGATCTTGCTGGATGCATCTCGGACCAAGAACGTGCCATCAGGCGTGTCTCGAAGTCTCTCATTCACCTCTTCCCTGAGGGACACCAACATAGAGTCACTGACCCGGCCTGTCCACCCTGCACATGCACACACAGCCCACCTTCCACCGCAGCAAAACTACCTGGAGATGTCCCCCCAGTACCACTCTGCATCCTGAAGTGAAGGCAGGCTCCCTCCATTGGCCAGAGCTGTGGGAGTTGGCTTTGCCTTAGAGGGTTTGGGTGGCAGTGCTGAGGGACAGGAAAACAGGTATGTAGTATGCACTAAGTGCACACTGCATCTGCAGAAAACACGCAAGCACTAAGCACTAGCTGAATAGGAGGAACTGCCCACCCGCAGGAGCCTAGGTTAGGACTGAGAGGGCTGTCACCTGGGGGGGCGACGTCCTGCTCATCCACCAGTTCCTGCAGTAGCCTCTCCAACAGCAGCACTGGGAAGTCAGGCCCAGGCTCACTCCTACGGCGAAGTGGGGGCGTCAAGGCCTGGGAGTGACAGCTGCGCCATGTGCTCCGTCCCACGTGTATGCACAAACTTGGGAGGGCAGGTGCAGAGGG